CCTCTGGGTCAATTTCCTTCTCTGTCCTCCTGGTCCTTTTTCTTTATCGCCCCAGAAATCAGATAGTGTACTTCTCTCCATTCTTTCTCTCCTCTCAACATTATGTTTACAATGTTTCTTTCATCCAGCCTGAAACCCATTCGCCTCTCGAAATCTCCCATCTCATTTGCCCATCACTTGCAGTTAAAAATGTGTGCGGAACATCCGGTACCCCACAAACAGTACAATCTGCCAAGGCAGATTTACCTATTCTATTTGTGAAGGTGCCAAAACTACCATGTCCGGTCAGAAATTGCGTCAGAAAGTAATCTAGTTTCCTAAACTTACATTCCCACCACGGTGTTATATGGGAAATAAGCTCCTTCGTCTACCTTGCCTTTCCACTATCATTCGCCATTCTCTTTTCCACTCTACTGTCGTTTTTTTTCTCTCATTCTTATCTATATTAACATCCATTCTCCTCGCATACATCCTCGCTCGCTCTTTAAACAACAAAACGATCGGTATCACCGCTCCAGTGACATATAGAGCCTCATTTAAAACTGTCCTATATGTGCTAGATACCCTATGGAGTATTCGCCTTTGCGAAGTCTTCATCAGCTTAGCGTATTTCACAGTGTTTAGTACACTACACCACAAAGGTGCAGCGTAAGTTACCACCGACTGGAAAACTCCATTTAGCACCTTTCTTTTGGTGCTTTTTGGACCTCCAATGTTTGGCATTAGCCGTATGTACGCCTCCAGATTTCGGTTCGCCTTCTCTCTTGTCTTTTGGATGTGTACTCCGAACCTTAGACCTTCCGACAACCAGACTCCCAGATACTTAATTGATTGAACCGGTGCAACCTCCACACCTTTCACTATAAAGCGAAGGGAGGATTTTTCCCGGGTACGGGATGTTTTTCCCTGTAGATCGTTTTCTGATCCACCTACTAATGCGATAAAGGGCTGTATTAGCTGCATAAGCTATGTCCGTTTTCTGACTCGCCTTCGCAACCAGTGCGAGATCATCGGCATAAGCTACAAGAGTGCATCCCCTTGGCATCTGTAGTCTCAACACCCCGCCGTTTACAGGATGGTATCTAGTACTGAATGCTGCGGAATACCCTTCGACAATCTGATGCTGGTATCGTTTTCTCTTATGGACCTGTGAGTAAAGTATCTGTCAATTACGTTGACCAGGTACTCAATAACGTCCAATTCTCTCAGCCTGAACATGATTTTTCCCATGATGCCGTATTAAAGGCATTCTTGACATCGAGCAGGATGAGAGCCAGCCATCTCTTTGTATCCTGCGTGACTAAAGAGGTTACTTCGCTCAGCGCATGTATTTCTTCTAGCTCTCGCTCAGGGCGGCCTTTTATAAGCTGTTCGTATAATTTAGCTATCGAACTAAGAAGGCAAATTGGCCGAAATCGCACCTCTTCCTCTTCGCCTCTACCTTTCGGACAACCTTAGCTTCTTTCAACAGTGTTGGAAACTGCTGTTGTTAAATTGAGTGTAACTGTCTCCGGCATGACTCCATCGATGCCAGGTGCTTTTCGGATCTTCATCCATCCAACAGCCTCGCCGTTAAAACCTCGCTGAATATTACGTGCCTAAAAGGAATTATACAAAAAATAATTTTTAGTAAGAAAAATGAATACCATCAAGACATATTAAATAAAATTATGCAATACAAAGCTAAACGTTTAGTTGTGGGTCGTACATAGGAGACCCTTAACATGTGTCGGTAGCACCACATTTCAAAGACCTCACCATTTTATGGCATCTTCTGTGAGACTCCCCTCTTTCCTGTGTGAAGACAGCATCTTCTGTGTCCCCCGCGGAGCTTTCTACTCCACAGATGAGGAGCTAAAGACGTAACATGTGCAGATAATCTTTGTTAGATCATTCTAAGAATTTTTATTTCATAGCCAGTTATCCCTAATATTGTAGCCCTTAAAAAAATATTTGTCAATAAAAGATTCGATTCGCAACGAATGTCAAAATAAATTTTCGTTTTAAAACAATTGCATATAAATAAAATTATTATTTTTAAACATATTATTTAGTTTATTTAATAAATATATTTACTAGGTATCAAATGATATTTATTTATATTTTATGCTTAATTAATATTTCTTTTGAATTTGACAGGTCTGACAGAAGTAAACAATGTATGCTTTCGTCAACAGGTGGCATTAGGAGTAAACATAATAATTCATTGAAATATTTTTTTTATTTTCCAAGTAAAGATTTGCAACATGTCCTGTTTGAAGCGAAGAATATCTGCCGGTGCTGGTACCTTCCTTATTAAATTTAATTAAAATTAATATTAAAAAAGAAATTTGTTTCTTATATTCAAAACAATTTACTGGTAAGTCCAATAGTTTGTGACTCTTAAGTCTTCTCACTTCCCTGCTGTTGTCCAATGGATTTAAAGTTCTAGAATTTGGGTGAATTACTCTAACTTTGGGTGAAGAAAATCCAATTATCTTCATGGGGTGAGATTGATCATAATGATTATATAACACGAAACAATAGTGCTTTTAAATAGACTATGATCAATATCAAGCTTCACCAATTTGTTTAAAGAGGTTTTTGAATTTATACAAAGGGATGAGATTGATCTTTCGGGGTGAGAATGATCATACTATTTTTATTGTACTAATCTTTATTTATATACCTAAAACATATTTATTTATTAAAAACAGATTTTTAAGAGCAAAAAATGCAATTAAAAATTGTTTAAAGAAAAATAAAATGGGATTTAACATTGTTTTATATTAATTTCTATACGAAAACAATAATTTTGAATCCTATCAGGAATCGTCTTAAGTGTCGGATCTGGTAGTAAAACAACTACTTCCTTGAAGGGAACAGTGGATATGTCATTTTCAATTATTTTAAAAATCTTTCTCCATCTCGGAAAAAGACTATTCCGTGTTTTTCCGAGAGACAGACAAAAAATTTAACAGCAGGAATTTTCCCTTCGTGATCCCCAAATCGAATTTATGAAATTATCAAATTAAATCTAATCGATTATCGAAACAAATCGTGTATCGAACAAAATATCGAATTGAATC